ATATATATATATATATATATATATATATATATATATATATATATATATATTTGCAACATAGCAATAATAGACATTTGAGAAAAATACTATAGGTAATATCAAGGATTTTTGTTATTTGTTGTTTTTATTAAAGTTAGGGTATTTTAAATCAGAACAAGAAAACAGCATATAATTCAGTTTTGCCATAAATATTCAGACTCTTACTTTAGGTTAGAAAATAAAATAATTATTCATGTAGCCATTTCTACCTACTGAAAAAGAACCACTTCATGAGAATTTTGAAGATGTCCTATCAAGATTCTATAGTTAAGAATCCAATCCTGTCTTGTAAATGATCTGTACTAAATAAGAAGCTGTTCATTCTTATTTTAATGACAAGGGGGAAAATAAAGCTAAATTGCACTTACTGTACCAGAACTTCCAGATACTGGAATCATTCTCTTCCACAATCCCATTAAACCAACATCTCCAGAAGAATCCTTCATGGTGGAAAGTGATGTTCTCTATCTACACAGAAGACAAATGAAGTAACTTGTCATCAACACAAAGTACATAACTTAAATTACTATATCCAGGAAAATGTTAAAGCAGTATATTTTATCCCAAATAGTAATGGTCAGTAGCTTTCTACCTATGTCTTCTGTGAAGAAATAGGCACTCCACTACTACTCTCTGATTTCAAGAGGAAGGCTATCCTCATCTCTACCAAGTACATCAGTATTTGGAAGAAGAAACGCACATTCTGTTCACCTGAACACTTCCCCACTTCAGTTGCAAGAAGCCAATAATCCGATCCAAAGGCCACCAAAAAGAGTAAAACCCCCAAAGCACCAAAGAGAGCCCCAAAGAAGATGGCAATATTTAGTCTCATTTTCAAGGCACTGGTTTCCCTTTAAATAAAATAAGAAATTTAAAAATGACAAACACTTAGCTTCTCAATTAAAAAGAGAAAACAAAAGAAAAGAAGAAGAAAGATTTTTTGAGTAAGCAGGATCTTCTTGAGAAGCCTCTCCTAGCTCATGTTGTTGTGGCTTCTCACTTACACACTGTGGGTGGATTTGTGTTCCCTTTGCTCTCCCCTGGAGGGACTCCAGCCCAGCAGCTGAGAATGGCCAGCTATTTTAGGATACTGATTGAGGAACTGTCTCTCTCCCATGGGGATCAAAAAATAGCTGACCTTCACTTGACTGTAGAGAGGAGTATCAGAAGCTGGTTAGAATGACCATTATTGCTGTTGGGTGATCCATAGAAGTGGAAAGACGATGCAGTGGTATGAAGTCATTGGCAGTATTGGCCCACCATCTTAAGTGTCTGAACAAGCCTCTCTTAGTCTAGAATGACCATTACAACCCTAAAGCCAAAGACACTTAAGGCTCTCTTTGAAGATAGATAAATAACAGCTATAAGAAACCACAAAGAGTTCTCTTGAGTACAAGTGAAGTTGTAATTAATTTCTTAATTCCTTTTCGATACTTTTGGGATACAAAATAATCTGTGTAGTCTAATTGAATACGTAACACAAAGTAGAGTCTAGATTTATAAACCAGACAGATGTATACTTAAAAGATCAATAATAAAGTAACAAACTAAAGTACAAAAAAGTACTTTCAGGCCACATATGTTTTTACATAAAAACAGCATTTTCTACCACAGCTCCCAGATCTTGTACAACTCGCTTAAATAACCGTCCCCAACGTGGACAGGTTTAAAAAAAAAAGGCTCAAAATACATTGTTTTATGGATTAAGATGAAAGAAGCTAGTCTACCCTTTCTTTTGTTCCCTTCGTTTTAAACAGCTGATTTCCTCATGTGTCATACTTGATTCTTATACAGACCACCTAATGAATCGACACTTTCTTCATGCTTTGTCTTCTACAATTGTTTTTTCATGTCTGAATATGTCAGACAGTATGTTTAAGTACTGATGTAGCATTTTAAAATTTGTACTATCTCTATGGCTACTGGTTTTTTTTTTTTTTTTAATATATATTCTCAACAATAACATGAGTTACTGCACCTTCTGAAGAGGCATCAGCTCTACCAACTTCCTTCACCAATTCTTCTGCTGGTCTTCTGCTGGTCCTTAAATATGGATTTGGCGAAGGCAAGAAATGACTCTTCAGTTCCAACTAAACACAGTGGAGGGGCCCAAAGGTCACGAATGGAATTCTAAGTCACAGAATTGGTGGCTGTGAGGGTTAAATGGAATTTAACAGTCCACCTGAGCTGTCCTAATGTTCAAATCTCTTTTGTAAGACCCCCATGACATCAAGTCATGCCATTTCTAGCTTGCTGTATTGAAGGACATCATTAATGTTCATACAACCCAGCCTTAATTTCTGCCAAAATCTGTTTCCCTAAAGTTTCCAAGATTAATCCTATTCAGTCCTCTGAGATTGCACAGCACAAGTGTACAATCCTGTCATGCCACAGAATTTTCTGATATTTTGAAGAAGCGGTCATTTCATGCCTCCTCAAACCACAACTGCCACTGGACCCCTACATCTAGGTCTTGTCTTTTCTAAGCTAAACTTCCTATTCCTTTAAATATCCCTTAGACTGGCACAACTCCAAATCTCCTTACTGTTCTGGTTCTTTGCTACAATTTTCAAGTATTAAGTTTAAGTGAGGCATAGTAAAATATTCTGCATAGAGTTTAACACCTTATTACTATCACCTTTCTGATTTGGAGGCTATGATATGCAGAGTAATGGTCTCCCCAAAATGGCCACACCCTAGTCCTAACTGTAATCACATAATCTGTGAATAGGTTACTCTTTATGGCAGTATCTTGGATGATACAGGTAGATCCAATCTAACCATATCAATCTTTATAAGAAAAGTAGAGAATCTCTTCTAACAGAATGGTCAAAGGAAGAAATGTGACAAGAAAAAGGGTCAGAAAGTTCCCATGTTGAAGGGGCCACAAGCCAAGTAATGTGGATGGCTTCTAGTTCCTGGAAGAGGAAAAGAACACAGATTCTCTTGAAAGCCTCCCTGAGGAAAAAACAAAGCATTACCAACACCTTGATTTTGGGGTTTGCTGACCTCTGGGACTGTAATGACAATAAATTTGTATTGTTACAAGCCACTAGCTTTTTATCAATTTGTTACAGCAACAGTGACAAACGAATACAGATGTATTCCATAATTAATGCAATATCAGATCAAATTAAGGGGTTTTGGGAGGTTGAAGAAGGAAATACTCTTGAAGAAGTGCTTATTGAGAACTTGTGAGGGTCCAGGCATTTTGCAAGATATTAAGGTTATAGTACACAGGCCCTGACCTGGAAGAGTTCATGTCCCAGTGGGAAAAAATGATTCATTAGAATGAAGCACACAGAGATTGTAATAATGAGCTTCTGGCCGACCTAGACACATTCTCCTGCTCCCCACCTACCCTTCTCCCAACACTGGTGTGGCTGTGTGGTTGTGGTTGTGGTTATAGGCACCGACACTGTTCTTTGGAGAGGAGGAGGGATTTTTTCAGGAAGGTTTTATTTTATTTAATCACAAAGGTTTATAAGTAAAGATCCATGCATTATCACTAAATCTTTAACACACAAATTCACAAACATACAAACAATTAGATTTTTAAAATAAGCAGAAAGGAACATAGAATTTTGTTATTATTATAATTCATCCCAATTTTGGTCTTTGTCATGCACAAAAAATAATCTTTCTGACTAGGTCCGTCAATGAATAACATTTTCTTACCATTTATGGTTTATCCAAAAATTGTATAAACATCGTTACAAAAATGTTTATTAAGTCATTTATTAAATAACAAACCTAATTAATTCCACCACTCATTTGTACACATTAATTTGATAACATAGAGTAGTTCTGACATCATGAAACTGAACTCCTTTAGCTCCATTATCCCCAGTGCTTATCACAGTGCTTGACACACAATAGGCACTAAAAAATAAATAAATAAATAAAATCAATTTGTATTAGGACTCTTGGCTGAGATGCAAATACATGACCTTCTGAGCTATCCAACTGGCAATCCATCCCAGAAGAAATGACCCTGGTCTGGCATGGCCCGTTCTTTGTGAAACTTGGAAGAATGGATTTGGCGGGCGGGGGGTGGTGTGTGTGCTTCCTCTGCAGATGCTCACACACCACCTTTTTGAGAATCCCCATCAGACTCCGAGAAATGAAATGGAATTTACCATCCAAGGGTCAAAAAGTGTCTCTCTTTTTTAGAAAACCAGACCCTGTGCCTGTTGTTTGCAACTCCTCTAATTTTGCACGATTCCTAAAATATTTCTAACAGCTATTCAGCATCTCTTCCTCGGATTCTCTCAGCAGCCTGAACAATTACCCATGCACCAGGAAGATGGCTAAAAAGCTGCAGGGTTCTTATCATCTGTACGGATTTGAGCAGAGGGTCTCTTTATCCCTTCACACTCCTTTCTAGTGAAAGGCCATGAGATGAGGAGAGACAGACATACTGAGGCACCAACCTCAACTCATAATAATCCTGTAATAAAGCATCTCCATTGCCTATCTTTTCTGTGAATATTGAATCTATTTTTATGTTGATATGATTATCACACTGAGTCTGCAAGGCCACAAGCATAAGCACGTGGGAGAGCTTGACTGTCAAATATGCGAAGCTGATATTCATGAGCATCTACCAAGTGGCAGACACAAACCTAAGCACATTAAATATCTTGACTATGAGTTAGTCTTCAATAGGCAAAATATGAAATAACCACTTTCTCTGTGGGCATTCACGCTCTTGGGCAAGGGTCTTAGCATCTAAAAGTGTTCTTGGTGGCAGGAAGTAAAGATGCTCTCGTTCACATGAACATGGCCAGAGGTAAGCCAAAAGAGATCTGCATGCAGTCTCACCACCAAAGGCAATCCACAATAATTCATGGGTGATGTTTCTATGTTTCTAAACATTAGCCCATAGCTTTGTTACAACTTTCAGGTGTTCTCTGTGTCCCAAAGACTAAATGAGGAGGCAAGGCAGCTGAGTGAAGACTTCGGACTTGTTCTCCAAATACAATAAACTTGGGCACAAGGACAGGACCTGCAAGGACAGCTCCGTTCCCTGAGTTCTCCCCAACTGCCAGTCTTTTATAATGAGAGAATTTCATTGAATTAAGAAGAGTAAGAATTTCCTTTCATAGATAGAGATTATGGGCAAATCATTCAAATCTCTAAGCTTCAGTTTCTCATACGGAAAACAGGAACAATACTTGAGAGGATAATGGGGGTATTAGGTAAGAGGATGTGTGTGAAATGTGTTGGGATATAATATACATTAGGTTTCTCTTCTATCTTGCCTTCAGCTGAAGATCAGTTTTTGATGGAAAAAGATTAACAAACAATTAATATAAAATAAAACTCCCTGTGATAGCATTCCAGGTAGGACTCGGATTTATTTCAACAGACTAACCTCTCACCAAGTGCCTCCAGTATTCCCCATGCCCACATACATTGTCCTCCTTCTTTGGCCACCAGCAACATTTCTCCCAGTCCTTTCCTATTCTGCTCCCTTCTCATTAGAAGTCTCTTCTCTTCCATCTGTCTGATGAACTCTTCACTAACCCACTCAACAAATAGGTACCAAGTCCCTTCTATGTGCTACATGTTCTTCTAGGAGTTGAGTACCAGCAGCAATCCCCAAGGAGACTGTATTATACAACCTCTAACACTTTTTCCTATTTGTTTAATTACACTCTTGCTCTTCTATAGATACTTTTTGAAGCCCTGTGTCTTGGGAAAACTTGGATCAAGAAATGTATGCTCGATGAACAAATTAATAATATATAATCAAGGGGTGCCTGAGTGGCTCAGTCATTCAGCGTCTGCCTTCGGCTCAGGTCATGATCCCAGATCCTGGGATCAGAGCCCCACATCAGACTCCCTGCTCATCGGGGAGCCTGCTTCTCCCTCTCCCTCTGCCACCCCCCTGCTTGTGTTCCCACTCTCGCTGTGTTTCTGTCAAATAAATAAACAAAATCTTTTTAAAAAATCATATATAAGCAACTAAATGAAACCTCCATATAAAGTTTGCCGCACTGTTCTTCTAAACGTTATCAAGAATGTT